ATTTTAAAGGGCCAAATATCAGAGAATAAATGACACTATTTTCTTGCATACATTATTTTTTAAACAAAAGCAATGACTTTCATGATAGATATTCTCATTCTGGCGATTGATTTTAAACTTTCAACACAGGATTTTTTTGATTAATCCTCAACTGACGATTTGTTTGGTTCTAACGATACTTGTTTTTTTTTCTCGGTGACAATGTAACTCATACTTTACGATTGCTAGATCATAGATGTAATCCAGGTCCCACTGACATGCCAGCAGAAATCTGCTGGTCTATATTTAATTATTTCCATGATTTATGAGTCAATGTCCATGGAAAATGACTGAAGATGTAATATATAATTTTTTAAAATTGGTTCTTTGCATTAGAAAAAGTAGTCAGTAAACATTTTGTTTGGGACTACAAGAGACTTGTCTAAAACTAATCAGATATAGAATGTCATTAGGTAGATTTTTTACAGAAATATTGCAATGAATAATCATCACTTCATATTATCGCTTCAGGAATGTAGATTATTTCCTCCTTTTCACTTTGATTATCATTATTATGTAAGTGTTATCGGCATCAATTAAAAACCGGGTTCCATTCTGACTGACAAAACGCTATTCAGCATCTCTCGAATCTCTGCCATTTCCTGTCTACTTTTAACGACCATATTCTCCAATTTTTCATTCTTCTTCATGATCTTATTCATTTTTCGCCAACAGGTTCTTGTACGTCTGTAATAACAACATTCTTCGCAGTTATCCTCGTGTATACAGATCTGCTCCATGCTTTTGCTTTTACAACACAAATGGTGTTTCTTAGGGTCACAGAATGTCTTTCTCGTACTGGGACTCGTTAGAGATTTCTTTTGAGGTCCTATAGAATTATTTTGTACATCTGTCATTTCCTGGTCTTTCCTGAGACTAACGCCATCAAAATTATCTAAATTATCAGCCTCTAAAGAGTCAGAGGGCTCTGGATGAGCAAATTCAGAGGTATCAGATTCTCTGATCCTTGCCTGACGCTGGAGAATCCTTTTGCCCTGATGTCTTCTTGTGGAGTTATCCGAATTTACAATTCCATCACTAAATCTACGTCCCTCATCGTGTGAATAAATCGATTGTATATCGCAGGAACTATCACTTGCTCGTCTAGGGCCGTCCGATGACGAAAAAATGTTATCAGTTTGGAAATTAGAAGTACTTGGATTTCTATCGTAATCATTATATTTTGGTGTATCCATTTGTGATATGGATGTGTCAATTATGTCGGGTGAATTATCACCATTAATATTGTTGTCACTGGAATCCATCAGACTCTCATCGTCTAATGATCCACATGGATACGTGTCCTCAATGACAGGATCGCTGTTGGGGTCACTAGTTGAGGAAGATGATTTCCACGCACAAACATTTGTGTTTGTTGATATCTGTGGTATCATTTGACATTGTTCATCAATCGAGTCAGCATTAATTGATTCAGAAGAAGTACGATTTTTAAGAGGATCAATGTAGCACTGGGCGGTGAGGCTTGATGGATTTTTTATTTCGATTAAGTCCCCGTCACAACTGAATGTAAATGATTTTTTCCCTGAAATACAAATGATCAATTATATTACTATAAAGTTCTTCACCAATACGATATTAATTCGGACGTTATCTTATTTTAATTAATAGTCGAAAATAATATTTCATTATTATTCAACCATTTTTATTTAATTTCAGTTTTGAGTGGCCTGAGCCTTCCCAAATTTTCGATTCAAGAATACGCTTTTTTTGAAGTAATGTAATCTTTCAAAGGCTGGCTGGCTCTCTTATTTGGATTTTTAATTCAGAGCGCCTCATCATGCAACAGTTACCACAAATTATAAATGAAAGACAAAAAAATACAACAAAATAAAAAGCTTTAGGAACTTTTTTCATAAATATGGAAAACCAAGCACAATAAGAACAAACTAAGTGAATAATTTGTTGGAATCTATCACTGTGAGACTTTTATTTGCCACTCAGGAATATTTTTTGCTAACTTCTTCGAGATTCAACTAATTTCCTAATATCAATGAAAAATGTATTTTGAAAATACTTTCAAGGTGTTTTATCCGTAATTTGTCAGAATTGCTCGGAAAATGTAGATCACAGCTTCAGTATATCAAATATCCAATAACTCTGCTAATTCTTCCATAATATCACCAAATTATTTAATGAAAATTAGTTGTTGAAGTATTTCTAGTTTTTACTTCAAATTCCAAGTGTTCCCACGAAAAGTGAACGCTATGAAAAAATATTTCTAACAGCGACAATAATTCAATGAAACTAATGTAGAAACTATTTGAATTGTTATAATATTATTTGTAGCATTAAGAAATAATGGTAACAATGTATTCAAATAAGAGAGACTCACAACTGTTGAAGAAGTTGGATCTCACCAAGACCCTGAATTA